TTTTTTTTTTCTTATAATGCTTTTTAGAAATAAATTAAGGTATATTTTACATATTAAGTAATTTCCCAGCGTCAAGTACAGTCACGCATTGCTTAACAATGGCAATTTTGTTGTTGTGCAAACATCATAGAGTGTACTTACAGACCTGGGTGGTATGGCCTACTGCACACCTAGGCTGTGTGACATAGCCACTGTCTTATATGCAATCCGTTAACTGAAATGTTGTGTTGCACATGACTGTATACAATTCAGTGATATTTTTAGTAAATTTACCAAGTTGTACAACCATCACCATAAGTCAGTTTTAGAACATTTTCATTACCCGAGTAAAATCCCTCATGCCCATGGACTGTTAATCCCATCCCCACCCCTGCTCAAGGCAACCACTAATCTACTCTGTCTCCCTGGATTTGCCTATTCTGGACATTTCATATAAACGGAATCAGACACTATGTGGCCTCTTGTCTGGCTTCTTTCACTTAGCATCATGTTTTTAGCATACATGCCATTGCATGTATCAACACTCCATTCCTTTTTATTGCTAGTCCTGATGGCCTTTTGTGTGTTTGCCGCAGGCCACAGTCATCAGCTGTTTCATGTGTGTGTGATCCTGGCCACGAACATGCAGATGGAAGCCATACTTCTGGACAAGACTCTGAGGAAGGACTGGCTTCTGGCCACCTCCAGGCTCCTCACCTTCCCTCAGATCGCTGGAGCCGTGCTTCTGTGTGTCATCTTCAGCCTCAGCAACATCATCTATTTCTCGGCTGCTCTGTATCGGATTCCCAAGCCGGAATTACATAAAAAAGAAAGATGATTCAGACCGTAAGCTGTTCATGCCAGATGTTAACATTATGCTGCAACACCATAACCACCATAAACTGGTGGCATGGCACTGGCTTAAAATGGCCCGAAATATTTATAATGATTGGTGTCTTGGAATTTTTGAATGGTTTCATGTCAAAAAGGTATTTAACTGGGGAAATCTTTCTAGATGTGCACTGATCCTATATGTGTGATTTAAAAGGGGAACGTGGGTTCAATCAAGTCCTTGTTAAGGCAAATTATTGATATTTCATTATGTTTTAAATTTATTTAAATTGAGGTTTTCAGTTCTATTTAAATAGTTGGATTAAGTTTACTACCCTTGTAGTTTTGAATTCCCCTTTAAAAATGGAACTTGCTTCATTTGATGAATTCCATGTCGCAAAGCTTTTCCCAAGAGCTCCTGTAGAGACCTGTCAACTGCTTTGGGAGATTGACCTGGAAGGGTCACTGGGATGATTTGAGAAAGAGGACGCTGGGTCTTTGGGAACCCTGGGGACTAAGACAACATTCCAGGTTGAGGAGACCCAGTGTGGGGAGGGGTCTTCTTCCCTTCCCCACTTAGTGAAGGGAATGGACAGAGGGAGAATCCCCTTTTCCTGCAAGTCCATTCTGCCTTCAAAGTGCAAGTTCCCATGTCATTATTAAGGATTTGGAGTTTGTAAGTTTTTTTCTTAAGTCCACAGTCTACGGCTGGGTGTCGTGTGTTCTGTGATGCTCTGTTTTCTTGTTTCCAGTTTGATCTGCAAGGTATGACGCAATGTAGGTACAATTCGTTAAATAAGGGAGGTTGGCTGAGTTAATCCCAATTGGTTGTGCTCATTTGTCACCTTTTAAACCAATGAGAGTGCTCTATGGGAGGATGTTACATATTAAATATTGCCTCAGCATTTCAAATATGCTGCAACATTTAGCATTCACGTGCAGAGGATGATAAAGACCTTGCCAACAGGATG